GACTGATCGTCGAATCTGCTTCATCGTCTCAACTAGTTCCACCTTAGGGACCAAGGTCAACCACGTATGGTTGAAACTTTTCAAAAGTCTACCAAATCGAAAAAACGACTGGACCGCTTCCACTACATCTGGGCCCACAATGTCCCAATAGCTACGATAGAATTTTCCGGTGAATCCATCAGAACCTGGCGCCTGGGTTGCTCCTATATCAAATACCGCTCTCCTGATTTCCAATGCCGTGACCTCCGCTGTCAAACTTCTATTCATCTCATCAGTGACAGAGGCAAAAATTGGAAGTTCAGACACCCGTGCCACCATATCCTGTATCTGGTTCTCTGATCGAAACAGATAATCATAGAAACCACACGCCACCTCACCCTTTTGTCCTTCATCAGTCACCCAAATCCCATCATCATTCCTTAATCTCTCTATGAAATTTCTCCGCCGCCAGGTTCTTGTAACCGTATGAAAGTACCCTGAATTTTGGTCCCCTGCACTAAGCCATTGTACTCTCGATTTTTGGCGCCAGAAAATCTCTTCATTCACCCATTGCCTCGCTAATTCTCTCTCAAGCTCCATCACTCGGTCCCGGTCCACATTTTCTTCACCTTTAATCGCCTCGATCTCCGTCTGGAGTATACGAATATTCCGAGCCGAGTTCGTCGTGCCCGCACGACTCCAATCATACAATAAGTGTCGAAGAGACTTTAGTCGTTGCCACAATCGAAACATAGGTGAGCCAGTGTATGGCTGGCTCCAGACATAACTCACTAGTAACCTTGTTTCCGGATTTTCAGTCCATCTCGCATCAAAACGAAACAAAGGTTTAGTCTTCCTAACAAATGGTTTATCAGCCACCAGTAACGCTTTGTGATCAGACCCAAGGTCCGTACAATGTTTAACCACCGTTTGTGGAAATTTCTCCATCCATAATGAAGAAGCGAGAACCCTGTCAAGGCGTTCCATAATACAAGCCGCCCCCATGCGCCTATTAGACCATCTAAACTGCGGACCCAAAAAACCCACATCCTGTAACGCAAGTCCATTCACCAAATCCCTAACTCCTGCCGACCGGCTAGGATCCCATGGCACACCGCCAGACTTCTCCGACGCTTCCATCACACAATTCATATCTCCCATCACCAAGTACGGCACATCCAAGCTAGAGCAAAAGACCTGCAACTCAAGAATTTGCTGCTGCCTAATCAGCATATCACTAGAAAAGTACACACACACACATAAACGTACTCAAAGGGGCCATTCTCATTAATACCAAAGGAAATAAAAAAGCTTGAATGTTCCAAAATAGTAAGGTTAACCCCACTTTCCCAAGCTAAGGCTAGCCCACCCGATGCACTCAAAGCATCAACAAGAAAAAAATTCTGAAAACCAAGACCTCTCATCCTACGAGATACTATGCGCCTACACGATTTTGTTTCCGAAAGGAAGACAACATCTGGCTTATTCATCCTACAAAGACCCAGTAAAGACTGAAACATAAGGGACGGCCCTATACCCCTTACGTTCCAAGCCATAATCTTCATTTAATGGTTTGGGACCACTTCTGGCTGGTTTTCTCCACCGCACTGTCAATACACTTTTTCTTCACTGGAGTGGGATCAAACTGTAGACCCTCCACCTCCCCAACAGCCCTCTTGCGTTCCTCGATCTCCTCTGGGTCGGGAGCAGTCATCCGGAAAGCTTCCTTACCCTTCTATTTTCCCGTCCCTGGAAATGATTGCTGTCGAGGTTCATTGGTTTGCCTGTTCTGCAGCTGCCCTGTACCACCGCGAGGAATCTGCTTCAGCCCACCACCTCTATTGCCTTCAGCATTTCGCCCCCCCCCCCCCCCCCAGTCTGAGGAGAAAAACCTCCTCTGTAGTAATTCCCTTTGCTCTTGTCATCCGCCCCTTGCCCCTTATGGTACCCAGAGTACCCTCCTTGGCCTCCCTTGCCCTTGCTTTTGTAGTTGAACCCACGACCTCCACCAGAAAAATTGCCACCACCATTATAGCCACTCCCATGGGCTCTCCCTTCAGCCTGCTTCACCGTTTGCACCTGAACATGCTTCATATTCTGCTCCTGGTCAGCTTGTTTCTTAGCAGGTAGAGCCATCACCACTAGTCTATCATCATCCTCTATCACCACATGATCCATCCCTTCATCCCGCTTCTGCTTCTTACTCTCCTACCCCACGACACCAATACGTGGGTTCACCCAAACAGAGGGCTGGATTGGCGGCCTCAACAGCTGTGGAATGAAGGCAGCCTCCTCCACTCGATACCCAATCACTTCCGTCGTAAGCTCGGGGCCATAATGTTCGATCCCAATTGGATCAGGGAACGAACAATTCGGGGCTATGTGCCCTAGTCGGCCGCAATGGTAACACAGCATCGGAAGAAATTCATACACCAATGTAACCCAGAATTCCCCTGCTAGCGGATTGCTAGCGTACAACTGGGAACGGAGAGGCTGCAAGATGTCAATCAACACCTTCGCCTTGATAAAATGCCCCGGCATGCCCTACATCGCGTAAGCACCCGCCTCCAACACTGTACCAATCTTCGCCCTGCAACTCGCTTTCCAAACGCCACCGTGCGGCAATGAGTGGGAATCCCCCATATCTGTACCCAGAATGGTACCATTGTGAAGGATTCCACAAGAGACTTGGTAATCTGGCACCATGGCTTCAGCTGGAGGACCCTCTCCTTCACCGTCCAAGGTGATCGGTGAAGAACCCAGTCCCGATCAGCCTCGTCCGCAAAAAAGACCTGCAGCAATCCCATTTCAGCTTCTAAGACCCTAACTTCCACCGCACAATTCCACTCCCCATTCACAATCTTGCTAATAACCGCCAAACTGGGCGCATTCTCCATAAATAGCCTGCCAAGCAAGCTCATCTTCGCCCATTGCACCCCTGTAGCGACATCATCCATCGAGAACTCCACGACTTGGTCCATCGCCATGGCCTGGATCCCCGCCGCCACTTCATCAATCTTCATCATATCCTTCTGTTTCTCAGCTTGAGTTTCGCCAGTCACCTGGACCTTAGGCACCACTTCATCGACCTTCATCTCCTCACCCTGTTTCTCAGCTCCTGTTTCACCAGTCACCCGAACCTCAGGTAGTACCGCCGTCACCTTTTCAACTGTGACATCACCGGATTTCGACATTGCCTGGGACAATCGTCTTTGGATACACCAGTATAGACCCCCTGTGTTGATAATAGATGGAGGCATACCTCTCGGATAAGACCACCGTTGATTTGGGAACTCACGTCGCCGATATAAACGCCACCACTGGAAACACCGAGCTTTCGTTGGTGGGTTTCCTAGTCTCGCCTGAGAGACTATATAGCTCCAATCTGGGGCTAGTCGGAGCACCGTACTCTAGACGGACTCTCGATTCGTGTTTATCATCCATGATTTACGAATCTGGATATACCTCGAGAAATAGTCGATTTCCCCTATCCTTCGATTTTTACCCGACCCTCCCCAATTGGGAGACCTGATTACATAGACCTCTTTGATCTCCTCTTCCCTGGAATTAGAGAAGACTACGCCTTCGAATTTCCAGCTCCTCGCCACCGATTTTACTACCGTTATCGGAACCCTAGCCAGCTTGCATAGGGCTGCTGCGAAGAAAGCGAGGAGAGAGGCGAGAGCTTCTCGCATTCTCTCTTTTTTTATCAATTTTTTTTTTGCCACCCCTTGGATTGGGTGGATAATTTAGTGAATGAGTTGGATTGAATTTATAGATATAGATCCTAATTGTCACCTCTAGGTGTAGGAGTTATTTTTAGAAACTGGTATGGAAGAGATGGTCTAAAATCTACAGGTCAAGAGTTTGAATCTCCCACTTACCTTTTCTCTTAGGGATCATTTGGATGGATTAATTAAAAAACTAGACAGTATGACCAATTGTTTCATTGTACAAAACGAGTCATTTAAAATGAGCCCATTCGAATTGCCAGCCCCATCCCAGAAAATTGTAATTGCATCAAAACGAGTTAAAACTCTCCAATTTCCATACAGAATTGTTTCATCTAAATTTGTGTTGACAAACAGATCAATTCGGCCAAATTATCTCATAACAAAATAATTGATCAAATTGATTTATTAGAATTTCTCATCCAAACAACTTTTAGTAATTTCTGTGTGAGTGTTACATGCACCCCCAACTTTGTTAATTGTTCCGCCAGTACCATTAATCCAAGTCAGAGAGCCCTATAACCTTAAACTAAATAATTTCAACCTTAATAACCAGGTGGTATTAGTAGGGTGGCAAAACCTTATCAATTCTATTGTTTTCTTAAAACTATTTTGTAAATTTTATTCGTGAACTTTATTGAGGGGTTTAATTGTCATTTATTATTTGAAACTTATGATTAGTATAATTATCATTTAAAAATTCCCATAATGTTGAGAAAGTACATATGATAAATAATAATTATTAGCCAAATTTTCCCATATTTTTTTATTAGCCAAATTTATTGAATTAACAATAATTAATCAAATGTTATCTTCCATTTAACAATTTTTTTAGTAATATTGACTTGGCAGATAGATGCTGACTTGGAAGAAACACGTGGAGCTAGAGGTCAACATTCCAAAATTTTAGTATTTTAACTAAAAAAGAGTTATAAATTTAGTAACGGTAACATAAATTTTGATGTATTACAAAAGATTTGGCTAATTATTAATAATTCAATAGATTTTGCTAATATAATGGAATGAAAAAAAAAAAGGTTTGTCTAATTAGTATTAACCCTATAATATATACAAACTTTGGTACAAATGATACTGTGTTTCAAAAATTCAACAAATAAGATATCGTGTTTCAACGCATAAACGGAAAAGAAAACGATGAGAACACTTGTCATGATTTGTTTTTATAAGAAACTTGTCATGATTTTCATCCCAAATTACATCGACGTAACTTCATTTATTTTACCATCAAATACAATAATATACATACTTTTCAAATCAACAGTAGCGGAAATGCACGGGCATGCAGAGCCTGTAATTCCACTCACAGTGACAGTAAAGCTACGTGGCTGCAAAACTGGACATAACAAAGGCATATGACAGGGTCAAATGGGGCTTCATTAAAGCCATCGTGCTAAAACTGGGATACCACGAGAAATGGGTGAATCTAATAATGGAGTGTGTCACGTCTGTGACCTACTCAGCATTGATAAATGGACATAAATCAGAGTTGATCAAACCTACTAGGGGGTTAAGACAAGGTAATATCACCCTATCTGTTCCTTTTGTGTGTAGAGGTTCTCTCGGCAATAACAAAAAAAGAAGTGGATGGAGGGAGAATACAGGGCATTAGAGTCAGCAGAAGTGGACCAATGATCTCTCACCTCTTCTTTGCTGATGACAACTTGTTCTTCTTTCAAAACAAGAAGTCAGAAGGAGAGGCACTTAAAAGAATTCTAAGGAGCTATGAGGAGGCGTCAGGTCAACAGGTGAGTCTAGCGAAGTCAGAACTGTCATTTAGTGGGAATGTGGAAGAAGAGGAGAAACAGGAGATGGTAGGCATACTAGGAATGAAGACAGTTATGCAACACGATAAGTATCTAGGGCTCCCAACCCTTATAGGAAGAGCTAAGAAAGCTGTTTCACACAACTGATAGACAAGGTGAGAAAAAAGATCAAAATGTGGAACAGCAAGACTCTTTCAGGTGCAGCAAAGGATTCCTTATTAAAGGCATAGCACAAGCACAAACACTCTATGCTATGTCTATCTTTCTTATTCCCCAAGGGGTAATTCACGAGATTAATAGTCTGATAGCAGGATTCTGGTGGGGAAGAAAGAAGGAAGAGAGACGCATCCATTGGCAAAGTTGGGAGAAACTCTACAGGACTAAAGTAGAAGGCGGAATGGGGTTCAGGGATTTGCACGACTTCAATCTGGCACTATTAGGGAACCAAGTGTGCAACCTAATGACGAAACAAGACACCCTGGTTGCTAAGGTCCTCGGAGCTAAGTACTACCCGAATTGTGACATACTGGAAGTTGAATTGGGAAGCAACCCTAGCTACACATGGAGAAGCATACACACTGCTATCCCAGTGGTAAGAGAGGGAGTAAGGTGGCGCATAGGAAATGGGGAGCAAGTAAGGATTTGGTGGGATAAATGAAGTACCTTGTTCAGCTCCTTCTCCAACGCTCGCCTTTGCAGTAAAACAACCATATTCTTTTTCTGCTTTGCAATTATTGCTAGAGCACGTTCAATCTTCCTTCTCCTTTTCTTGAGGTTGCCGAAAGTATTTCTGCTCCACTCGATCAATCTCTTCTCAGACTCCTTTATCCTTTCTTCCAATGATCTGCTAGGGTCTTTTCCCCAAACTTCAGCTATAACTGTTCCGCAGTCTTCATGTTTCTGCCAGTAGGTTCGAATTTGAAATGCCACCCCCAACGTATTTTCTCTTCTTGCAAGTTCAGTTCCAGCAGAATAGGTAGATGGTCAGATGTCCATCGCTCTAGGTGATACACTCTCGCCTCAGGAAACTTATCTTTCCAACTTTCGTTCGCCACCATTATATCTAACCTTTCTTCCAGAAAATCTTCCTCCACCCTTCCATTATCCCATGTGAAGGGATACCCAAAGTACCCTAGGTCTTCCAGGTGGCATTCATCCAGGGTGATTTGGAATTCCTCCATGTTTCTCGTATCTGGCGGGTTGATTCCATTTTCTCTTCATACCCAAGTACCTGGTTAAAATCTCCACACAGCAGCCACGCCATGTTCTCGCGTTCACTTAGCTGTCTTAGCATTTCCCAAGTTTGAAATTTCTGGTCCCCCTCAGGCCAACCATAGACACCCGTAAGTCGCCATGGTTCTGAAGTTCCTTCCTCATAAATCCAAGCATCAATGTCTTTAGTTGAGTATTTTCTAATTTAAGAATCATATAATTTTTATTAATTATTATTTATTTACTTTATTTTTTAAAAGAGAACACCCCTATGTAAAATTTCTGGATCCGCCACTGAATGGGGTTGTGGTTCATTTGGAAAGAGAGGAACAATCATCTCTTTCAACAATAACAAGTTGGAGGAGTGGGAGATAGTGGCGAAGTCACAGGATTACCTGGAGGAATACTTGTCGATCCAGAGCTCGGAGAAGCCAACCCGGCAGCCGCAAGCCCGGTACAAATGGGAAGCACCGCCAACAGGAACATGGAAATTGAATGTAGATCAATATTATCTCTAATTATTATTCCGAAATTCAAGTGAATTATAACAAAATGTCATAATATTTGGAAGGAACTCGTCTAGGTAATAGTATTTTTTTATCGAAATCTTATGAACTTTTATTTATAACCAGTGTTTTCGGTTACATAGTCCAGCTGCAACTGGCCAATCAAGAGAACATGTTGTCTAATTTGAGAGTTCTTACAAAAACTTTTTCATTTCGTCCCAAAATACATTTTTTTCCAGTTAAGGTCGGTTTCTTACTTATGAATCATGAAACTCTATCGTGCATTGTCGGTGTGGGAATTGTGGTGGTATAGGTATGATACTTTGTTTCAAATTTATTGACACATATCACGCAGAAACGGGAAAAAAAAAGAAGGAAACAATGTGAAAGTTGCCATGATTTTCATTCATTATTTCATCCCAAATTAAATCAACGTAACTCAAGGTTGTCAAACCGGTTTATGCCAGTGTGCCGGTTTAGCAAGTGGAATGGTTCGACCAGTGGCACATACCGGTTTGTGCCGGTTCATGCCGGTCAATATTACAAATAAAATTATAAATACTCATTTTAAACATGACATTTAACGTCAATACCTAAACATTTATACTTGAATCCAACAAATAACATCAATATTTAACATATATACTCATAAAATAAATAATAAAATATTTTTTAACAATTAAAGTCACTAAAATAAAGTTATTTTACTTAGAGATTCGTATATCGATCATGCCGGTCATACCGGTGGTGTCACGCCGGTTTTATGACCGGTACAGGTTGAACCAGGTACAACCGGTGGCACGCCCGCCGGCGTGACAACCCTGTCGTAACTTCATTTATTTAACCGCCAAATACATATACTTCGCTCAAACGTAGAGGGAAAAGTACAAACACACACTTAACACACCAAATAGCAAATTCTTTTCAAATCAACAGCAACGGAAAAGCGAAACAGGCTATTCATCGGAGAGTTCGCCGCAGTCGGCAATAACCACACCCGGGTCGGAGCTCTGCCCCGGTTCAAACCCGACACCGCCGATGGCCTCCACGACGTCCATCCCGTCGACGACCTTGCCGAACACGACGTTCTTCCCGTCCAGCCACGGGGCCCGGACCAGCATTATGGAGAACTGGGACCCGTTGGTATCCGGGCCGAAGTTCACCATCGACAGGATCCCGGGCCCAGTGTGCTTCTCCTCGAAGTTCTCGTTGCGGAACCGCCGCCCGAAGATCGACTCCCCGCCGGTGCCGTCGCCGCTGACGAAATCGCCTCCCTGGCACATCATCCCGGGGATCACGCGGTGGAACTTGGATCCCTTGTAGTGGAGCGGCTTCCCGTTTTTCCCCACTCCCTTCTCCCCCGTGCACAGCGCGCGGAAGTTCTCCGCCGTCATCGGCGTTGTGCCCCCGAACAGCTCCATCACGATCCGGCCGGCGGGGGCTTCGCCGATGGACACGTCGAAGAAGACTTTGGGCTTGGTCGCCATTGTTTGATAAACGACGACGGAAGGAAGGATTGATTGGGGAATGCTTTAATTTGGCGAGTTGGTACGAGCTTTCCATGGCTCATGAGCTAGGGTTTATATATAGTGGTTTTGTGACGGGGAAATAATGGGGGAGCCGAGGGGGCATTTTCCACGGCAGCTGCGTGGATTTGAGACGTGAGTTTTACTTTCGTTGTTTAAATCTCATCGTGGCGCCATGCGGCATATAAACAAGTCCAGAATAGGAAACTAATAGATGACTCCTTTTTCCTATTCCATATATGGAAATTTCGATGAACTCTACATTCGGGACCCGGCTATTATACGATTTGATTTATGCTGAGATGGGTGTATTATTCGATCTGTGGTAGCGTGGTGTGGTACAAGATATGAGTACTACTTATAATTTGTCCCTCCCTATTCGACCTATCTTTTACTTGTCTAATTTTAATTTGTCTTAATATCTATTTATGTTCAATAAAACTTTAATTATTTTACATAGTATTTTATATAACTTCTTCTATTTTATTTCTTTTCAATAATATTTTCACTCAATGAATCTTTAAATAAATGCAAGACTTGATTTTCAAATATTAAGCTCAATTACTCATTCTTATTCTTATTATTTTTTATCCATGAAGTACTTTTATTTTGTTTTACGGTAAAAAAATGATATTTTTCACATTACATTCTTCAATAACTGTCATGATCCGTATCAACATGGCGATTACCCAATATGACTTGCACTTGATATGAAATAAGTATGAATATTGATATGAGCACTTCTACTATGCTTTAAAGTACAACTTGAAATTGTATCATAACGTCAAAAGTCCAAATTGAAGTTGTACAATAAGGGAAATATGACCTCTATGTTATGGTACAACTTGAAATTGTAAAGTTGAATGATTCGAACTATGGAGAATGGGTTAATGACATTACAGAAACCCTAATCACCAAAAGTAAGTTGGCGTTTGTTGATGGCTCTCTTCCTCGTACCAAAGCCGGCTTTGCGATACGTCAGGATGCTTTGGATCGTTGTGATGCGACGGTCAAAGGGTGGTTGAAGACGGCTATGATGAAAGAGGTACGCAACCGCGTGCGGACGGCGGGGACAGCTCGCGCTATTTGGGCTGACTTGCAGCGCCGTTTCAGCCGTGGCTCCTCGCAGCGAGCTTATGAACTGCGGCGTAGCCTCAGATCCTTTCGCTAGGACAAGCTCTCTGTCTCGACATTCTACACCAAGCTGTGTTCGACTTGGGACGAGATGCAGTCAATTAGGGGAGTGCCTCGTTGTACCTGTGCGAGCTGTACGTGCGGCGGTTGCTCGTGCGATTGGCTTCGTGTTTATCGCGCCCAACAAGACACTGAACGTTTGTTTGAATTCTTGATGAGTTTGGATGATGTGTATTCAGTCATCCGATCGCAGATTCTTGGTACAAGACCCACTCCCACGCCAGCAGATGCCTATCAAATGGTTTCAGCTGAGGAACAGCACCGCAACCTCACCAGCTCACGACGTCCGATTGTGGATACGGGCATACGGCGGCCTTTCAAACTCTTGCCGAGCGTGAGTCTCGAGTCGAGGTAGATAAGCTACGCTTCTCAAACTGTAATTGCACGGGCACACACGCGAGACCTGCTACAAGTTGATCGGCTACCCTCCTGGACATCCTCAAGCCAAGTGATGAACGTGCTGCTCCGCGACGTCCCAAGGCAGCGCACGTGGAACCTGAAGTGAGCTCACCTATCCCAGGACTGACCGCGGCTCAATTTGTTCAGCTGAAGGAGTTTCTTGCTTCGAGTTCTACAAAGTCTCCGTCAACTCCCACAACACATATGGCTGGTAATCATTCTGAACCTGACATGTGGTTGCTTGACTCTGGTTGTAACGAACACATTGTTCGTGATAGTAGTTGGTTGGATACAGTTTATTCGGTTTTTGGGTAGTCTCGGGTTCGTATGCCGGATGGATCAGGTATTTCGATCAATGGAATGGAGTCTTTTTTGTTTAGTGACTCCATACGGTTGGACAGTGTCTTACATGTTCCTGCCTTCAAGTGCAACCTGTTATCGGTTAGTCGGTTAGCACAGGATCACAACGTGGTGGTAACCTTTTTGCATGATTTTTGCATGCTCCAGGTCTTACCTTCCAAGACGCTGATTGGAGTGGGACGACTTAGAGATGTACTTTACTAATTGCCTAGGGTTGGTCTTCCTATTGTGCGTCAAGCTCTCAAGGCAGCTCGATGGAGACTTCGGCTTTGTGGCACACTCACCTCGGGCATCCATCTTTTGATAAAATTGCTAATTTACAAGATTTTTTGGGTTGTACTGTTTCTTCTCGGGATTCTCCGCATTGTGATTCTTGTTTACGAGCTAAACAGACTCGTCTGCCATTTCCTTTGAGTACAATTAAAACCAGTAACAACTTTGAACTGCTTCATATGGATATTTGGGGTCCTTATAGTACACCAGCTTTGGATGGATCTCGTTATTTTCTTACCATCGTTGATGACTATAGTTGTTCTACTTGGGTTTATTTGATGAAGTATAAATCAGACGTTGAACGGTATCTCAAACTTCATTGTGAGCTGGCACGTACTCAGTTTGGCCGAGCTGTTCTTCGAATTCATGCAGACAATGGTCTTGAGTTCCAGACTCTCTCCGGGCGTATTATGAGGATCATGGCATGATTCTTCAAACATCCTGCACCGACACGCCATAACAGAATGGGGTCGTCGAACGTAAGCATCGCCATCTGTTAGACACGCGCGGGCTCTCATGTTTCATGCAGGTTTGCTAGTTCGGTTTTGGGGAGATTGTGTGCTCACTGTGACTTACTTGATAAATCGCATGTCGTCTCCCGTCATCTCGGGCAAGACGCCGTACGAGGTTTTCCTAGGATGACAGCCTACTTACTCGCATCTACGATCCTTTGGTTGCCTCGCTTATTCTAAAGACACGCACCATGGACTCGACAAGTTTGCGGAAAGGGGGAGAGCAGGTATCTTCCTTGGCTACCCGGGAACTCAGAAGGGATATAGGATCTATGATCTTCGGATTAAAAGGGTTCTTGTGTCCCGCGATGTGCAATTTGTTGAACACGTTTATCCCTTTAAGCTCAAGCCCACGAGCAACACCTCGCCACTCCTTGCTGCTTCGCGACCTGCCATGCAGGTTCCGTTGCATGGAGACGTGCCCTTGCATGAGGACGTGGTGGATGATGGCTTGCTCGCCGACGAGGAGCCGTTTGATCAAGTTGGATCACCTGGACCTACTTCTATTGATGAAGCGTCCACTTCGACGTCATCACCTACTCCATCGGATTCCCCCATTTCTTCGGCCACTCATGATGCTGAAGGTGATTTGGCTACCTCTCTAGACCACGAGATTGAGGATACCTCACTGAGTCACGAGGATATGGAACCTCTTGCTGAGCTTCATGCGCCTCCTGCGCCTCGGCGAACTCCGCCTTGCGATCGTCGTCGGCCTGGCGCGTTGGATTCTTATGAGGTAGACCTTCCTGACACTAGTTCACATCATGTTCAATTTCCCATTTCCAATCATGTGCACTATCACCATTTCTCTCTTTCTCACTCTGCCTTTCTTGCTGTTGTGGACCACTTGTTTGAACCTCTCATGTATGCCCAAGCGGTCCAATTTGAACATTGGCGGGAGGCCATGAGACAAGAGATCGAGGCACTAGAGGCACAAGGAACATGGACGCTGGAATTGTTGCCGACGGGGAAGCGAACCATTGATTACAAATGGGTATACAAAATTAAGTTCAAGTCAGATGGTACTGTTGATCGGTATAAAGCCCGTCTAGTTGCGAAACATTTAACGCAGTTCGAGGGGATTGATTATCACGACACCTTCACCCCTGTTGCGAAGCTGGCCACCGTTCGTGTACTATTGGCAGTTGCAGCCAAGCAGGGCTAGCCTCTACATCAGTTGGACGTATATAACGCTTTCTTACATGGCGACCTCGACGAGGAGGTTTACATGAAGATACCTCAAGGGTTTGCCAGGGCTGGTGATAATCGGGTTTGTCGACTCCGGAAGTCCCTCTATGGTCTGCGTCAAGCTTCTAGGAACTGGTACACGAAGTTTACGGATGAGCTTTTGGATTTCGGGTTTACTGTATCCCGGGCCGATCATTCTCTCTTCTTGTATCAGACGGCTGGAGTCTTCATCACTGTGCTCATTTACGTTGACGATGTGGTTCTGACTGGCAATGACCCTGCTACCATTGATCGTGTCAAGCAGTTCCTCAATCAACGGTTCAGTATCAAATATCTTGGTCCCCTGAAGTACTTCTTGGGTATCGAAGTGGCATGTTCCCCTGCGGGTATAGTGCTCAGCCAGCGTAAGTATACTCTTGACATACTTGTTGACTCGGGTGTGTCTGCAGCCCGGCATAGTGGGTTCCCCATGGAGCAAAACCATGATCTCACTCGCTCGACAAATGAGCGGTTTGAGGATGTGGGTGCCTATCGTCGTTTGATTGGCCGCCTTCTCTACCTCACAATCACCCGCCCGGACATTTCTTACTCCGTTAACTTACTCAGTCAGTTCGTTCATTCTCCTAGTCTCGCGCATACGATAGCAGCTCAGCGTATACTCCACTATCTGAAAACTGCACTGTGTCAGGGTTTGTTCTTTCCGTCTGATGGTCCCTTGGACCTTGTGGCTTATAGCGATGCCGACTGGGCAGGCTGTCAGTTTAGTCGTCGCTCCACTACCGGGTATTACATTCATTTTGGGGGAGCTCCCGTATTCTGGCGTGCCAAGAAACAATGGGTTGTCGCTCGATCGTCAGCTGAAGCCGAGTACCGAGCCATGCCTAGCACTACCAGCGAAATTCTCTGGCTGCGGCATCTTCTATGCGAGTTGCAGATTCCCCAGTCAGCTCCAACTCCCATCTACTGTGATAACCAGGCTGCTTTCACATTGCAGCTAATCTTGTTTTTCATGAGCGTACCAAGCACGTCGAGATGGACTGTTACTTTGTCCGTGAACGTGTTGCTTCCGGTGAGATCCATCCGCGTAAGATTGAGACTCGTCAACAGTTGGTCGATGTCTTCACTAAGGCGTTGGGTGCTGGCCTTGTTGTCCAAACTGGGCATTTGTGACCTTCATGCTCCAGCTTGAGGGGGAGTGTTGACGTGGGACATGTACTTATTTGTACACTTTATTTTGTTGCTTGATGACTTGGTTATTTGCCTAATACATGTGTCTTAGTGGAAGGGTATTTAGGCTTTGTGTTAGCCGAACTTAAATCATAATGTGGTTAAGAGGCTGTGTCTGTTATTTCACCAAAGATATAGTAAAACCCAGCCTGAGAACTCTGCTCTCCGTGGACTAGTCCCAATCTTCGAGGAAACCACGTAAATCAGCGTGTTCATTTTATTTTCCGCGACATCAAACTTATTAAAACCATTGTAAAATTCCTCATATTAATACCTATTCCATCCATTGCCATCACTAATTCTAGAGTTCGGTGGATTTATAGGTTTAATTATTCCCACGTTTGCCATGGGATCGCCCCAGAATTAACACTAAAATAGTATCCTCCCCATCTTCATGTGTCTAGTTGGGTCTGCCGTCTGAACTCTTAAACGCATCCTTATCTAGAAACATCATCATATTAATTATAAAGAACGAACCCTCAGCAATGTGATATATAATTAATTGAAACAAACTTTATCGTTATATAAAAACATATCTTCTTAATTATCATCATCAGTTGTCTCGCAGTCCATATTTATTTAATTATGAAATGCACTTATTATCACAGCTAGGGGCGCAAATGGATTGATCCATGGATCAAATGGATTGGTGGATTCATGGATTGGTGGATTATCCATGAATCCAAATGACATCCTTAACCAATGACCAATATGTAAAATGTGAAAAGTTTAGTTACTAAACTGTCATAATGAAAAAATTTGGGTACCAAAACGTAATTTTCCAATGATATTTTTTCGTAAAAAAAATAAATTTTGGGTATCAAAATGTAAAATATAAAAATATAGGTACCAACACCGTAATTTGTCATTTGGATTCATGGATCATTCCATGAATCCACCAATCCAATTGGATTTGGATCAAATGGATTGGAATTAAATGGATTGGATTAGGTGAATATTTTTAATGGGTTGGTGGATTTGATTTGTGAATTGGATTGAGAATTGCCACCTCTAATCACAGCTAACAATGGACTGTAAGGGGTAATGATATATGGAAGCAAGAAACGGATGGAGATAGCATTTAGGGATCGATATAGCGGTTAGGGACGATAATTTTGCTCATATTGATTGATATTTTACTATCCAACTCATGCGTCATGGGTTGGGTATGAAATTCAAATAAATAATAAATGTATAGAGTGTTATGCGTTTGTACCAATGTTGTCAGAACCGAGCCGGAGCATGACCCGATAACGTGAACGGCTCGCACTTTAGTGGTTCAATCGGTATCCGACCGTTAACAAACCGTTAGAGAACCGATACCTTATAAATAATAATATCATAAGTAGAAAATACATAAGGTATTAATTTAACAATTTAATGACTAAAATGAAATTTACTTTAGAGGTACCACTAAGTAATTTTACATTATATATAACAAATTAACAACTAGAAGTCTAAAACAAAACCCTATCTGTTCCGTCTCTCAAAATCTCTGCCTCACTCTTGAAGGATGGTAAAGACGACGACGATGGAGGACGAAGATCGGGCGATGGAGCCTCTTCTCCGCTTGCGAGCACAGATAACGACTGAGAGGGGGAGCTTGTCATCGTGGTCCTGTGGTTCGCCGACAACGGGTGAGTCATCGATGGATTGCTGGTCGGAGCTTCGGAGGAGGGTGAAGCCGAAGAAGCGTGCGAGAGGCAGATCCAGAGTTCCAGATGGTCAGAAGTCAAAAACCGGTTCGAGCGGTTCGAATGGTTAACCATTTTAGCCGCTCCAAAACCGTATGTTTTGACCGCCACGGGTTTTAGAGTGTTTCGAACTGACCTGACGCCCGGGTCCCGGTTTTATCGACCGACCGGCTCGGGTCGGTCTTGACAACACTGGTTTATACCCATACCACCACATACAAAACCTCCATCAACTTCTCATGAAGAGATGCACTCTTCAAATGAAGTTGAAACACACAAACACCATCTTTATTAAACTTGTGTTTAGATACCCACTTGACTCGTTGGACCAGTGTCTTTCTTAGACTGCATTTCAAATTTCATAGTCTGCCAACAATTTTCTTCCTTACGTTGCTTTCCCAGCACACCAAGGATCTTCTGCCTTCAAAGCATAACTGTCAAGTATGAGATTCTCATATGCAAAAAAACCTGAATACAGTCCATATCTTTTCGTTGTTTTGGATGTCAGGGAAACAATATGGAGAAAATAGATTGAAGGCGTGATTTTGATCACTCTCCTTAGAGTGTTTATTTGCCCCCACTACTTAGTTGCTGGTAGGATTTAGGCAAACCACCTTCAGGAGTCCCTCCAATCAAAGTCAGAAAGCAGCACCTTTCGTGACTTCTGTGTTTGTGATTTTGGAGAAGGAAAAAACGAGGAGAAGAAGATGAACGTTTGACGAAAAGTTCGGCTGCAGAAGACTTTTTATAGTGGAAACGGCAGTTCTCTTTCGAAGGGTTACGTCGTTTCACAAAAGTCAAAATTAAATAATTATCCGGATTAATTAATTAAAATAATTCCGGTAATTAATTAGCCGAAAAATCATCCTGGTAATTAATTATCTGGATCAAATTAAATAGCTCACACTTTTTCCAAAAGCCCACTAACCACTTTATCGAATAACTAAAGTGAAAAGCAAACTGAAAAACAACTTATACTTTCCTTCTCCCACCAATGTGGTATTTCCTTTACTCTTTGACCACTCTAACATTAGATCCTAAACCAGTTGTAGAAAGTTGGAGTGCATAGTGCATACTAATATCTAGTTGACAATTTGACATTTGTAGTGCTTACTTCTTGTTGATGTAGGCAGCGAGGAAAATTTTGAGGGACACATAGCCCAAAAATTTAGATGCCAGTCAGATGCAGTGGGAGCCTTTTTGTTTGGGCCTTCTTGTGGGTTTTTGTTTCGGGCTTATGCCCATATTCACCTGTTGCCTTTTGTCTCGTTAACCATAGAGGCATAGACCCACCAAGATTTTTTTTTTTTTTACGAAATAGACCCACCAAGAAGAAACAGGTCGTTTGGAAGTTAAATGATGTTGATGAATGATGAATGATGAATGTGAAATTTTTGCAATTCAACGTTTCTTACATAAAATTTTAGAATGCATGCATTTGAATGAGTTTATGGAATATCAAATAGTTAGAAACAGTGTCGGATACATAAATTAAATAAATTGACCAAGTATTGTCAAATAGTCTTGAGTTTAAATACTACTACTAGAATAAAATTTTATAAGGTCATTTTGTCCCAAAAGTGGATTAGGATTTGTTAATTGACAAACCCGTCACAGAAGATTCATTTTTTGAAGGTCCGGTGCTTTGGGAGTGTCGTCAGACTCAGATCCTAGACTCTTTGTCATATTTTATAAAGTTTAGGACGGTTTCTAGAGTCACCAACAGTGCTGCCCATAGAGTGGTGCTTAAAGCACTATTATTGTCTCTCCTAGAGTTAGAGTTTTTCAACTTTATTGGGTGCCTTCACTAGGGTGTCACTTGTAGGGGGTTCCTCGATAGTTTTGTTTGTATAACTCTTTTCATCTCTTGATATCACTCGAAAATAAATAAATAAACCGTCAAATAATTTATGAAAGTGAATTATATGTTGTAAATTGTTTCACCACAATTTACATAGATGGGTTTTTAAATGCCACTGAACATTAATGTTGAGCAAGAAGTCTTCATTGTTTTAATGAGACTAGAATCAATTATATGATATTTATTAATAATGTTAGTTCAAAGAATTAATGGTTCCAATATCAACGGGAGAAAATATGCATCTAATTTGAAATTGGTTGAAATGAATTATGATCCCAACAATTAGAATATGAACATTAAGTTAAAAGATAATTCATTTCGTGAAGTTTGGAAAGTCTGCTGTTAGACGTAATTGTTGTCCCAAAGAAGTGACTAACAGTTATTGGCACAGAAGATCCTTTATCCTTTTCCCAATCTTTGTTTCTTTTTTCCTCTCTTGGCATACCCAATTTAGCTATTAGTCGGTATGTTCATCCGTGCTCTTATGTGAATAAAATATATTCTTCCTTTATGTGAGTTTTTGGTCAATGTTTATCTAAATTTTAAGAGGTACTGAAACGAATCCCAACATCAGTAGAATAATGATCGAAGTTCTGTCCCTAGTAGTTGATATTTGCCGGCCAAGCACTGCCAACGGATGGATCCAGGAAGATTGAATGTGGTACCCTTGTGGTTTACATTGTTGTCAATTTTTGCTATTTTGTTGTAATTAGAGGATGTAGTAGGAAGTAGCCGTGTGTAATTGTCCTTTTGTGGTTGTGGTGTACTTGCTTGACTGTTTTTGAAGATTGTACTAAAAATGTGCATGTTGATTTCTTTTGGCTAATCTCCACTTGGCTCAACTGAGAAGTACAAGCCTCTGGCTGAGTGAACGTGATTGTTTGATGATGGATGCCCTCTTGTTCATACCTCTTCATCACTAGACAGTAGACACTGAGACCTTTCATTGCAAGACTTGGCTACCCAGACAAGACTCAAAAAGAAAGGAAAGTTTGATTAATTCAAACAACAAGCCCGTCTAGCTCAGTTGGTAGAGCGCAAGGCTCTTAACCTTGTGGTCGTGGGTTCGAGCCCCACGGTGGGCGATGCTTTTTTTCCCTCACACCACCACCCACTTTAATTTTTAAGATCCCTTTAGCCCAAGATCCAAAACAGCCCAAGATCCAACTACTCCACAAACAAGTCCCCTCACATATCGGAGGCCCACGTTCATTAACCGCCTTCCCTTCGACTTTCTTACCCCTAACGCCGTTTAATTAACGCCTGTCAAAAACTTATTCCCATCCAAGGTTGTCAACCCGCGGGTCGACCCACTTTGACCCTGACCCGGTGAGAAAAATGGGCCGTAGACACCCGTCGGATCGCCGCTATACGGTATCGGGTTGAAGGTCAAATTGTGTCATTTTTTCTTTGGTTTGCGAAATGCGCATATTTTCCGATTTTTCTTTTCGCCTAACTCAAACTTTGGAATCCTAATTTGAATATTTGAATATTGATGTATATAAGTAGGAATGGCAATGGGGCAGGTCCGGGGCGGGTTTCTTGATACCCAGACCTGCCCCGGGGCAGGTCCGGGGCAGGTCCGGGGCGGGTTTCTTGGTACCCAGACCTGCCCCGTGGCAGGTCGGGTCCAGGTCGGGTAATTGATCACGGGTCGCGGGTCGGGGCAGGTCGACCCAATGGGTATGCAATTTATATGAAAAACATTAGAAATATTCGTTATTTTTATTATAAGACTAAGAAAACAAACAATATTATGACAATTGTAGTTAAATTATTGGAGAAATTGGGATTTTTACTAATTTACAACTTTATTATAGCTAAAATATGATGCAATAAAAGGAAAATTCTCAGTAATTTAACTAAGATTACATGTGATTTAGACAAGAATGGGTCGAGAATGGGGCGGGTCAGGGCAGGTCGGGTCGATGAGACTACCCATGCCCGCCCCGCCTACGGGGCGGGTCGGACCCGCCCCGAAACATGTCAAACAGGTCGGGTAAAACAGGTCAGGTCGAAATTGTCATCCCTATATATAAGTGTGTGTGAATTTTCACTTTATGCTAGATCTAAGTACGATATGTTATTTTGGTGTAATATCATATGTTATAACTCATGTGTTAGATAAGATTTGATATAATTTATAAGAAAAAATACAATATAATGACTCTTTCCATATTTCCGGACCAAACCGAATTAAAATGATTGACCCATTAACCCTTGACCCACTAGCTCGACCGGGTTAGGGTCAACACGCGGGTTGACAACCTTGTTCCCATCACTGTTTCCTTCCTCCCTCCCTTCTCCCACCGTTACCTTAACGTCACAAAAATATCCTGCCCCGTTCCCCCTCCGTTTCACTTTTTACCCTTCCCTTCCCGTTTTTCACTCTTCTCCCCTCTGTCTGCTTCGTTGTCGACCACCATACCTTCCAAAAAAACTATCCGTCTCCCCCCCAAAAAAGCTTTCTTACTATATATTCACACTCTCTTCTCCTCTCTCCCCGCTCCCTCCCTCCCTCTCTTTAATACAGACACAACCGTCCTTATCCTCCGGCCCAGCCATTCTTCCGTTCGTCGGCCTGCTCTCCCAACCCTAAGATCCGACAATGAGAGAAATCCTGCACATCCAGGGCGGCCAGTGCGGCAACCAAATCGGCTCCAAGTTCTGGGAGGTCATCTGCGACGAGCACGGCGTCGACCCGACGGGAAGGTACAACGGCGACGAGGCCTCCGATCTCCAGCTCGAGAGGATCAACGTCTACTACAATGAGGCCTCCGGCGGCCGCTACGTCCCTCGCGCCGTGCTCATGGATCTGGAGCCTGGTACCATGGACAGCATCAGATCTGGTCCTTACGGCCAGATCTTCCGCCCCGACAACTTCGTCTTCGGGCAGTCCGGCGCCGGGAACAACTGGGCCAAAGGTCATTACACGGAGGGAGCCGAGCTCATCGATTCCGTCCTCGATGTCGTTCGCAAGGAGGCCGAGAACTGTGATTGCTTGCAAGGTATATGACGAAATGACAATCTGGTTTCTTCTCGTTTCTCAGATCTGTTTTGGTGTTTGTGTTTCTTTACTTGATCAATGCGAATTTCATTTGACTTGCATTGATTTGTTTGAACTCTGCCAACTCCACAGCGTAGATTCGCCACCGTTATTGAATCTGAATTCGTCGAAAGTTATGGCGGTGTTGTATGAATGAAGTTCATTGTGTTTGTATGAATTGATCAACGCGAATTTCATCTGTGTTTGTATGAATGGATTAACCCAAATTTCATCCAGAGTTCTTGATCATCTCTCAATGCCCTACTATAATAGGATCTCATTAGACACATTTTTTATTCTTTTGAACTGTTTAGCAAAATTGACATCACCACCATTGTTGAATCTGTTACGTTCTTAATCATGAGCTTGTACTAAGGAAGCTGCAGCAAGCGTAAATGACGGTTAACATTTCTCCCTTTCTCGTGAATCTGTCATTTTGCTCCTTTTGAATGATTATGTTCATTGCTGGTTGCGCTGCTCCATGTTATTCCTTTTCGTGCTTGTTTGTTGTTTAGCCAAAACTTTTCTCCATTGAAGATGTGAGCTATATGATCATGGCCCCCACCATTGATATTGTCTGGCGTGGAGATTCTTTTTTGTGGTCTTTCTCTAAACTTCATAATTAGAGTCACTTTGAACAGATCTAGAGATGAAATTAATGATAATGTCTAAGTTTCACCGCTGCATGATTGGGGGGGATGGCCCAATCCCAACAACACCACCCACCCGCATCTACTACCCCTTTTCATCTTTTTAGCATACTGTTACTGGGGAAAAGTAGAAATGGATCACAGGAAAGATCTGGGTTCTCATTATGCTTTAGAAGAAGTAAAGTGACGTCTGTCATTGTCCCTGGTTTGTTGATTTTGACTTGAGTATGTAGCTTTCATGTTGGTCCATTGCCTTTGGATCTAAGATTCTGATGCTTATGTCTCTGTTAATGGCTGATTTGGCACTCCGTTCACTTGTCCAATCTGAAGTAGTGGACTTTAGGTTTAGATGCTGTTTATGGTAATAAATAGACTGACTTAATTTCATTACCAGGTTTTCAGGTATGCCATTCGCTTGGAGGGGGCACAGGTTCTGGCATGGGAACCCTTTTGATCTCTAAGATCAGAGAGGAGTATCCCGACCGGATGATGCTCACGTTCTCGGTCTTCCCTTCGCCCAAGGTCTCAGACACCGTGGTGGAGCCCTACAACGCCACTCTCTCTGTCCATCAGTTGGTTGAAAATGCTGACGAATGCATGGTCCTTGACAATGAAGCACTCTATGACATCTGCTTCCGAACTCTCAAGCTCAGCACTCCAAGCTGTAAGTCCCATTCCATATATGGCTTCACTCAACGGTGCATTGATATACAAATGTCATAACCACTGAAACTGAACTAATGTGTGCTTTCCTGATCATGCAGTTGGAGATCTGAACCACTTGATATCAGCAACCATGAGCGGAGTAACATGCTGTCTCCGTTTCCCTGGTCAGCTCAACTCTGACCTCAGGAAACTTGCTGTGAATCTCATCCCATTCCCTCGTCTCCACTTCTTCATGGTCGGATTTGCCCCACTCACCTCCCGTGGATCGCAGCAGTACATCTCCCTCACCGTCCCTGAGCTGACTCAGCAAATGTGGGATGCCAAGAACATGATGTGCGCTGCCGACCCCCGCCACGGCCGGTACCTGACTGCATCAGCCATGTTCCGTGGCAAGATGAGCACAAAGGAAGTTGACGAGCAGATGATCAACGTCCAGAACAAGAACTCGTCCTACTTCGTCGAGTGGATCCCCAACAATGTGAAGTCGTCCGTGTGCGACATCCCACCCAGAGGGCTTAAAATGGCTTCAACTTTTGTTGGGAACTCGACTTCCATCCAGGAGATGTTCAGGAGGGTGAGCGAGCAGTTCACTGCTATGTTTAGGAGGAAGGCTTTCTTGCATTGGTATACCGGAGAAGGGATGGACGAGATGGAGTTCACCGAGGCTGAGAGCAACATGAATGATCTGGTTGCAGAGTACCAGCAGTACCAGGATGCTACCGCAGATGATGAAGGGGAGTACGAGGAGGAGCCTGAAGAGTATGAGGGGTAAGAGAAAGGCTGCAACTTTCTCCTAATGTTCCGTATGTCTGTGCTTAATCGCTAGTTTTTGTGTTCTTCTGGTTTGTTCCTTGTTTCTGGGAGGTTTGTGGATGATGTTTGATGGGAATAATTTCCGACCATTATTTGCTTAAGGGAGTACGAGAGGAAGGAGGAGGAGCAGTTTCTTTGTTACTTGCTTTTTTCGTATTCAATGGCTGAATTATTACTTGGTGTATGTTTCTTTTTTCTGGGCTATGGTGGAAATTTTTCTTGGACTAGCAATTGGGGATGTGTTTTTGAGGCTGTTGCTGTCAATCTTTTTTGAGTTCATGGAGCTCTTCCTCGATGTCAGACTTCTCTTCAATGCATCCTAAAAGGGGTATCAATGCAAAATCACTTTTCCCGTTTGTATATATACGAGTTGGTATTTAGATTGGTCGTTCGCCAAAATTCACATTTTTTAATGGCAAAATATATGGCCAAATCATGTGTGTGACACATACCACGTCAATTAATTTTGAGTTATAAAATAATTATTTTTGAAAAAAAAAAACAAAAAAAATATATTTTCCCCCTACTCCCTACCAGTCGTCCCCTTCCTCCAGACCTGGTGGCGGCGGCAAGCAACGCTCAACCACCACCTTCTCGAACACCTGCGAAAACCCAGAAAATTTATCTTCCATCTCTAACCCCTATCGATACCCGAGTGAACACCATGCCCTTCCTTCTCCCTGCAAATCCCTAATCCCTCCTGCCCAGAAATTTCTGCCTCGATACAAATTCCAGATTGAGAAGCTAAAGGTCCAGAGATTCGAAAATTCTCAGTGAAGAGGAAGCAGTAAAGAGATATAAGGTCGATTGAAGGATGTGTTCCAGTAGAGAAGACGCCGATACATCGATCCGGATGTTTGCGCCTTTGCGAGGAAAGGTGGGAATCTGTTGTGAGAAGAGGTAGGGTTGGGAGAAAGTGATTTGTATCTAATACTCATAGAACCCAATTCCACTTGCGGGCATTCCACCTTTTTGGCAAACTTGATTTTAATTCAAATAACCATCCATTTAGCTTGAATATATATAAAGAATTGTTATATTGTCATACATTTATAGATTATATCAAATCTCATCTAATATATATGTAATAACATATAAAATTACGGGATTTTTCCAGAAATAGCACTGTTAAAAAAAAATTCCAAAAATAGCACCTAAGTCCGAAAAAGTCCAAAAATAGCACCCTTTCCCAAAAACCGCTCCCTACCAGTGCGGTTTAGGCGAAAACCGCCACCAGGGGCGCGGTTTTCGATGAAAACCGCATCCCTAGGGGGCAGTTTTGCAGATCGCACCCCCACCATGCGATCTGTTTTTTTTTTGAAAATCCTAACCTAGGTGGAAACTTCAAACGAACATATCTATGTGTACGGGTATCAGATCGTCGCGAATTTTTTTTATTTTGCATAACTTTTTGAGATCTTGCAAGCCGAAGACTGCCGAAGGTGGTTTGATCTCGCCTTCGTCCCAAAAAATGTCGTTTGCTACCCCGCACGAGCTTATTTCCGATTTCGTCAAACTTTGGACAACCATAACTTTGTGCTCCAAAATCCAAACGACATGAATTTTTTTTTTATTTCGCATAAATTTTTAAGGAATACAACTTTTATCATAGACATAATTTCAAAATGTACGTGGATTGCTGAGAAGGGAAGGTAAGCTATTCCCAAAATCCTGTATATCCAAAATAATTCCTGTTTTGAAAATTCATTCTAATAAAAATTGCAGTCCTTAAAAAGTTATGCGAAATAAAAAAAAATTCATGTCGTTTTGATTTTGGAGCACAAAGTTATGGTTGTCCAAAGTTTGACGAAATCGGAAATAAGCTCGTTCGGGGTAGCAAACGACATTTTTTGGGACGAAGGCGGGACCAAACCACATTCGGCAGTCTTCGACTTGCAAGATCTCAAAAAGTTATGCGGAATAAAAAAAAAATTCGCGACGATCGGATACCCGAACACAAAGATACGTCCGTTTGAAGTTTCCACCTAGGTTAGGATTTTTCAAAAAAAAAAAAAAAGCAGATCGCATGGTGGGGGTGCGATCTGCAACCAAACCGCATGGTGGGGGTGCGGTCTGCAACCAAACCGCATGGTGGGGGTGCGATCTGCAAAACCGTCCCCTAGGGGTGCGGTTTTCATCGAAAAACGCGCCCCTGGGTGGCGGTTTTCGCCTAAACCGCACTGGTAGGGAGCTATTTTTGGGAAAGGGTGCTATTTTTGGAATTTTTCGGACTTAGATGCTATTTTTGGAAAAAAAATTTAAACAGTTCAATTTCTGGAAAAATCCCTAAAATTACACCAAAACAACAGTTAAAACACGGATGAGACTTTTCACGTCGTTGCCTCTAACATACTCCTCTTTGGCTTTCTTCGATTGATTCTATAGCTTGAAGGATTGCTTCTTGCCATCGAGCATTCTTCAAGTCATTTACTTGTACTTCTTACTGGTTATGAATGAAAGTCGAAAGATCCTAATCTTTGTGAGGAGGGGAAAAAAGTGTAATAGTTGTAGGGATGTAAATGGGCCGAGTTGTTCGCGAGCGACTCGACGTTCGACTCGGGAAAAAGCTCGTTCGAAATTCGGCTCTTTAATAAACAAGCCGAACACGAGCTAAGCTTTGTTCAGTTCGTGAAGCTCGCGAGCTAGCTCGACTCGGTGGCTTGTTGAGCTAAACTCGTGTGCTGGCTCGATTAGAGCTCATGATATGCTCAACATGTGGCTAGAGAGCAAACTCGATTGCCGACTTATGGAAAAATCAATCTATATCTTATAATTTAATTCATATAGTTGTTAAATTATATATCTCACATATATAAATTTTACATGTTGAGTATGTAAGCAATATATCTTATTTTCTACTTTAAAAAGAAATTATGTATCATAGATTGCTTCGATACTATGAAATAACAAGATTTGGAGTAGTTAAAATTTATTGACTAAATGATAAAGGATACCAACAAAGTATAATATGAGATTAGCTAACAAAATAAATTATATGTATCATGATATACAAAATGAAGTACCAAATACAAGTAAAGATTTTAGTAAACAAGTTGGCTCGAACTCGACTCTACACGACTCGAGCTCAGCTCGTTTATTAATTAACCGAGCTCAAACTAGAGTAAAACTCGACTCGACTCATTTGCAACCCTAAATAAACGTAGTGATCTCCCCACCGTCACATAAGATGATAAGACTGCTCCTTGAATGGCAGCTGGAAAGGGCATTGGTGGGGACTTGTAATCCGAGAAGAAGAAGGAAAACTAACGGGTTAATGCCACGTTTGGTCACTGAGATTACTAAATCGTGTCATGTTTAGTCACTAGAAAAAATTAATATCAACTTTGGTCACTCAAATTACTAAAACGGATCACATTTAGTCACTCTCCGTTAGTCTCCGTCCAAATCCGTTAATAGAGCCCGTTAAATGCTGACATGAATAACAAAATCGCCTAGTCAGCGTTGTTTTGGACTAGATATGGTCAAACCCAACCCTCCATGTCACTAAACCCGTCATGTCATTTGTCCAACCTAATACACTAACCCAAACCGACCCATGAACCAAACCCGACCCTATTCTCCATCTCTACCACGCCTCTCCACTTCTCCCCCTTCCATTTCACCTCACCGGCAAGTCCGCCCCCTTCCGTTTTATTCCACCAAGATCACTACATCCTCTCCGTCGACCCTCAATCCACTACCTTCACCGAACAAGAACCCAAAGAACAAGCTTCTCCTTCCCCCATCAAGCTCAACGCCTCCCCCCATCATCCATCGACCTCCTATCAAGATAATCGGTCGTCAGATCCAACCACCTGGACTATAAATCCCTCACCTGCGCTAGGCTCCGCCTCGACTCCGACCCCGTCCAGTTCATCTCTGCCAAGCTCCTCCTTTCCGACTCCGACCTCACCCCTCAACTCAATTCCGAATCCCCCCATTTCCTCTCCCAATCCTATTTATCGAATCCCGTCACATCCGGGTCGAACTAGGGCAGCTGGGAATACTTCTCCCGGGTCTGGCTCAGCAAACAGACCCGATCTTCGATCGGCCTTCCTCCTCCTCCTACTCCCCGCTCTTCTGCAACTCACTGGAGTGCGCATCCCGCGACGTCTCATCCGGCCGCTCCGACCAGTGCCTCTACCAGGATAAATATGGATACGGGAAACTGACGACGGCGCGATGGGGGAATTTATTTAGGGTTTCGTCCGCTGCTGTGATGGAGGAAGCTGACGTTGGTGCGCGATGAAGAAGAAGAAGTACAGAGCGGATTCGCAGGAGGATCTTAGGGTTTCATTGTCTGCTGCGATGGGGGAACTGAAGCCGGCGCGCGGCAAAGATAGTGAAGAACTTGACTTCGATCTCTCCCTGCTCTTTGATCTGTTTTATCGAAAATGGTAGACGAAATTGAAGGAGCAGAGCTTCGCGAGGAAGGAGAAGAGTTTCGGGTCTGAAAATGCCACTAACCCGAATGATTTTCCAATTTTGTTTTCTTAACTAGGTCGGATTTGGTTCTGGGTCCGGTTGGGTTAATGGGTTGGATTGGGTGTATGACATGGCGGGTTTAGTGACGTGGCGGGTCGGGTTTGAACATTTTTTTACCCTAGACGGCGCTGACTAGGCGCTCCCGTTAGCCATATCAGCACTTAACAGGCTCTGTTAACGGATTTGGACGGAAACTAACGGAGAGTGACTAAATGTGAGCCATTTTAGTAATTTGAGTGACCAAAGTTGATATTAATTTTTTCTAGTGACTAAATATGGAACGATTTAGTAATCTCATTGACCAAATGTGGCATTAACCCGAAAACTAAGAATACCATGGAAGAAACTTGGGCTAAGTGAAACCCAATGGACAATTGACCCAAAAGAAGGGCACAGCCCATTTATCTTTTGCATTTCCCGCCTAATCATTCGCCCAACCCATATCTTTCCCGCCATGAAACGCTGTCGTTGCATCTGACACTTTTTCCGTCTTGGATGAACTCGGGACAGAGCCGAAGTACACAAGGGTTTTACTTTTCTGCCTTTGTTATCTTCCCACAGTGCATAGAGATCAAGCTTCACTGAAACCCTTCTACTTCCAGTCCCAAAGTCTGCTAGGCCGGGGGAAAGAACAATGCCGTCGGAGGATTCGAAGCCAGTGAAGCAGGAATCGGAGGACGACGAGAGGAGTCTGAGCTCCATGGTCCTTGCTCGGCGGAAGAATCCGACGAATGCAGGTACGGTAACCCCCAAACCTCGTCCCAAGCCGGCGAAAGTGAAAAAGGAGTCATCCGAAGACGAGGACGACAGCGATGAAGATTTCGATGGAGTTGTTAAGCCAAAGAAGGGTTCTTCTCAGGTTCGGTCGAAGTCAGCCGCCAAATTGAAGAAGGAAGAGGACGACGACGAGAAGCCCATTGCGAGAAGGAGTTCCGCCTCGAAACCTGCTAAGGTGAGTTATCTATGGCTATTAGAAGTTCCAATTTTGGGGATTAGTTGCTGGGAGTTTGTGTTTTTTCTTCTTCTTGAAACTGAAGGATTCGAGCGTGAAGAAGCAGAAGAAGACTGAAGTAGTGAAGGGTAAAGGAAGCGCGGGGACTCAGCAGAATGGGACGAAGAAGGAGAAGAAGGTTTATAGTTTGCCTGGCCAGAAGCGAGATCCTCCCGAGGAGGTAATTGTTCTTCGTTGGTTTGGTAGCTTAGGGTTTATTCTGGTTTATGCAAGTGTTTGTTTGGAGTTAATTAACAATTCTGGATACTGTGGTTCAATTGCAGAGAGACCCACTGAGGATTTTCTATGAAACTCTGTATAAGCAGATTCCCAACAGTGAAATGGCACAAGTCTGGTGAGTTACATTTGCAACCCCCACTCTGTGAAGATTGTTGATGGTTTAAGCATAATGTGATTATAGGGAAGAAGCTTATGCTGTAGAGAAATAGTAATGCTTTGTTCAGCGAAATGGCTCAAGTCTAACCATTTGCAGCCCTTCTCTGTGAAGATTGTTTGGTGGCTTAACCATAATGTGATTATAGGGAAGAAGCTTATGCTATAGAGAAGTAGTAATGCTTTGTTCAGCTACTTCGTAATAATTGTCAGCTTAGGATGAGGAATCTATTAGGGTTGGGTTATGGAGTTGCAGAGATCCTACTCTTTCTTAGAGATGTGTATCTTTTGAGCCTAATGAATAATCACAGATCTCAGCATGTAACAAAGAGTTGATGAAAATCAATCTTAGTTTCTTATGTTGATTGGTTTCTCGTATGAGTAAGAATGAATGTGAAAGATATAAGTCTCAGGAAAGTGGAGACTTCAGTGATCTCATCTTCTTATACCGCGGAACCATGCTTCACTCTTTGGTTCAAGATAAGACTGCTGTTTTGCATTCTTGACTCATGAAGTCTACCCAGGTTTGACATTTTCTGCCATAGAGTCCCTGTTCGTTCTCATCAACATGTTTGATTACTAGTTGATACTTTAAGAACAAGACTTGTATTTTGAATATCCCTTGGCATTGCACAGTGCTATATTGAGTCACTGACATATAATTCCATGGAAACTTCCTGCTGCACTTCTAGCAGCTGGCTTCCTGACTCATTCTCTGCTTGTTGTAGGATGATGGAATCGGGATTGCTTCCTAAAGACAAGGCACAAAAGGTGTTGGATATGAAGCTCAAGAAGAAGAACCAGAAGTTTGCATCTCCAATGAAAAAAGGCACTCCCACCACCACCACCACCACAAAGAAATCCAACGGTGCAACTGATACAAAGAAGAAGCCATCTCCATCTCCAGTATCTACATCTGCCAAAGGCAAGACTGCTCCTTCCAAGGTTACCGCAAAAGATTCTAATAAGAAGCGCAAGGCTAGCAGCGATAGCGATAATGACTCTGACGATGACTTTGTGGTGAATGTCATGTCGAAGAGACAGCGGGCATCATGATGATCCTATTACTTTGTTATGTTTCTGCTATCTTCATTACGGAAAGCAAAGCAGCATTTGGTCTGTATAAGTGTACTATAACCTAAACTTCCCCAGATATCTCTTGTTGAATTGACTGACATTATTTCACAATTTCCTTTCCTGTTCCTACTGTCTCACAGTCTCTCATTACTCATTAGGCCTTTGCTCATGTCATCTTATTGCTACCTTAATACCGTACCGCAGTCCAACAAAATCCCAATTTCGGATCCGTTTTGTTGGGCTTGGCCCATTACATAATCTCACGACGGTGAAACTGTAAATTCTCCTAAATTAGCGCTAAATCAACGCTTTGATCACTAAATAGGATTTAGGGAGTAGGACGAACGATATATTTTATTTCCTTCTTGAGAAACCGCCATAAATGAATGGATTAACTCATTTTTTTTTTATTTTAATTTGTGAGATTCATTGTAGAATGAAAATAAAAAGTCCCCATTTCATAAATTCTTAAATTTTATATTAAAATAGACGGTATAAACATTTCTCAAATTCAATAATACATCGATTAAATTTGCGATTGCTGTACATATCATCTACATTTTTGTCATTTGATAGATCTGATTGTGATTTAAACACTAAGCTACATGAGCAACATTGTATTTATTTTACACACATAAAATTTAACAATAGTATCATCACGAAACGAGAGATTTATATTTTTTTACGATGGGAAAAAGCTTTATATAATATAGTGATAGTGGTGCTTACATTTTCAACGTATTTAGTAAATTTTTATATAAAAAAAATAAGTAAAATAATGTTTGTTTTATTATTATTTGGAAGAAAAAAAATTGAAGATACAAAGTACAGTCGATTTAAGTTGGAAAGTCTCTCTGACGGAAGTCGTGAAGCGAAGCGAGGCGGGAGGGGAGCCGGAAAAACCCTAAATCGGCAACAGAGGACCCTCCATTGAGCGACACGTGTCACCAGCTCCCACCCCCCGCGCCACTCGATTTTTTTCCCCCTTCCCTCTTTCTCAATCATAAAACCAAAGAGACAGAGTCTTCACCGCAACCAAATTCCTTTCTCCCCCTTATCTCGCCGTCGGAATTTCCACCCTCTAATCCCTCTTCTTCCCCAGAGCTCTATCTCTTCTCTTCTGGGTCTCGTCCCTCGCCAATGGCGGATTGACCTGATTAGGTCTTTGTTTTTGTTTGTCTTTTTCTTTTTCTTCCTTGGGCGTGACGAAGATGAAACAGGGGAACAACTGCTCTCTCCTACCCTCTTACTTCGAAGAACACGAGCACGAAGTCGCCTCAATTCTGCTTGACCTTCCTCTTGTAATCGACCAATCCAAACCCTCCGCCGCCTCCGCCTCGTCGCATCATTCCATTCCGTTCTTCTGGTCCGCCAAGCGGAAGAGATCTTGTCTCTCTCGCGGAGGCCGAATCGATTCCTCGCCTTCAACTGCAGCATTATCTCCGAGCCCGTCTCTTCGTGATGCCCAGCAGCCGTTGGCGGCGGTCGAGAAAAGTTCGGCGGCGAGGGGAGAGTCTAAACCCAAGGAGGAAAAGGAGGGCAGCCCTACCACGCCGCTTTCCCTGTCACTGAGCGAAGAGGAAGAATCCGGTGAGAATCCTCCCCGCTGTAAACGGAGAGTCGCCTCCGCCGTCAGCAAAAAGGTAAACGCTTCGTTTTCCTGAGGGTTTTCGTTTGCTGAGTGGATTTGACCCTTTTACCCTTATCCCAATCTTGATGGTAAAATTCTGAAACTGTGAATCATCCTGTGGGGGAAAAAAATTGTTCAGCAGTCGAGGAAGGATTTGATGGAGAAAGTTGCCGAGAGCGCGGAACAGCGGAAAGTTCTACGGAAGGTAATTTTGAAGTTTCTCCCTTTTCTTCATCACTCTATTTCGTGTTTCCCCAATCCGTCTAATATTGTCACTGGAAATTTACTGTGGGGTTTCGGGTTAAACACAGGAGATTGAGAATGTAACCCGTTATTACAAAACTTTGGAAGAGGAGAATTCGAAACTGAAAGCCATTGAAGAACAGGTAATTCTTTCTTTCCCCACCCACTCCCTTAATAAAACCCTGCTCATAGAAAGCCATTCAATTTCTAACCCTAATTGCTCCCAATTGAAAATGTGCAGCTGAGGCTTGGCAAGCAAGAGAAAAGGCCTGGATCAACCGAAACCCAATTGGCCCAACCGAGAGCCGGTTCAGTGGTTGTGAATGAAAATGCAGTGGAGGAATCACTGATTCGAAAGGTTGGGGTGGTGCCTCCGTGTTCATCTAGCTGCAGCAGCAGTGGTAACAATAATAATAATGGCAGCGGGGCGATTGGGATTGATCTGAACAGCGGGAGTGGGAATGTGAATGTGTGTTTTCCGGTGGGGGAAGGGAGGTGGGAGGAGTCGATTTTGGGGGATTGCTGGCTGCGGCGGTTTGATGATTCAGGGCTGAGGGCGGCAACGGCGGCGACGGCGAGGAAGAGAAGGATTGAGAAGAGGAGGGAACAAAAAGAGCGACGGCGGCGAGGGTTAACTAATATTAGGTGGGCTTGTTGGAGTGAAAAAAACTTTAACTAATATGATAGTGCTGCGTCGTTTCTTAGTTAACTAATTGTATTATTATAAATCTTATGGTTATCGGCTTATATAGATTATTAATCAATATTTTTGGATTAAGTTGCTTATTAGTTATTAGTTACTTTTTCCTTAAGCAAAACAGCTCTAAGTAGGGATGGCAGTCAGCCCGCGGGCTTTGGGTATCCGCTAGGGCCCGCCCGTGTGGAATGGGCCGAAACCCGCGAGAGCGGTTTAGTTGGCGGAGTCGGGCAGATCCGCGGCCCGCGTGGCTCGGTGACGGGCTGGGGACGGATGCTGTGGTACCCGCCCCGTATCCACCCCGGGAGCAAAACTGATAGGGCAAAAGCGTATATGCCAATTTCCTATCTCGTAGTAAAACCGGAAAGTCCGGGTATCGTCTCTCAGGGACTGGTACAACCTTAAGTTCTATCAATTTTATTGAGCAAACTATATGTGAAAATGTTTAATGAGATGAAACTATGATCTACTAGCAAAGTAATTAAACTAATTAAGCAAAGTAAATTGGTCGGGAGAAAATCAATGGAAGAAAGCTCTGGGAGAAACACCGGGACTCACTACCTATCATATCCAGATTAATTCATATATTCCAATCAGTTTAATCCAATTCTCTACAGCCAGGATATCACTACTGTGCTAGCTATCCCTGTCGGGAATTACTACGTACTAAATAATCAAATCAAATCCTACTGTCGTAGCTCAATGACTTAATTATTTAGCCTGAAGAACGATATCCTAATCAAGACCGCATAGTACCTTATTTAATCCACTGTCGCTTCGATAAGTTGCTATGTCACATGAAATAGGTTCAGTTATTAGGGTTTCACTGTCGCTAATAACCTAATTAACTACAAATCGATGTATTGGTGGCCAGTCAACACAAAGCATTAAGCAATTTCATGCAATAGAGATTGGAGGAAAAGAAATATGAATCAATCCATCAAATCAAGAAAAAGCTACCTCCTATGGTGTTTCCCCCAGAAATTGGGGGTTTAGTTCATGACGAAAATAAAACAAACAATCATGTTCATAATCATCATCATAATAATCAAGGGAAAAAAATACTGATTTGCAATTATGCTTGGCGGCCGGCGCACTGCTCAACAGCTCTCTGCCAAGCTTCTCTCCAGCCTTGCGCGGCGCCTCTCTTTTCTCCCAAGACTCGTTTTCGTTCCAAGAGAATTGCCCTCAGCCTGGCCGCTCCAATTCCCTCTCCCCAGCTTCCGTCCTCAAGCTCTCCTTCCCAGAATAATGGCCGCCTCCTCCTTTTTATTTTCTTCAAGAATTCCGCCCTCTCCAGGGAATTAATTCCGTCCCCAATTCTGCTGCCTTCCGCCCTCCAAAGTCCAAAAGAGATTTTCCAAACCCAATTCACGTCCAAAAGTAAGGCTAAAAGTAATTGCCACCCACAGTTCGTTTCTTTTGTTCCGCCTCCAAAAAGAATTTCACTCAAGTCCAAAAGTCCAGCCCAAGCCCAATCCCGGTTCAACTCCTCAGTAAGTTCCGATCCAATGTACATCCAGTCCACTTGAATTATTCTATCCACCAATGCAAATTTCTCGTTTCATTTACCTGAAATATATAAAACACTTGGCACTTGATGGTAATGGTTTTATAACCATTCCAGGCTTAGTTGGACCTCAAACAAGTATTATAGATCTCAAACATATGATGAAAAAATCACATTAAGCACGCAAAATCAATATGTTTTCGACAATTATCACAACCCCACACTCAATACTTGCTTGTCCCTAAGCAATGACTCAGACAAGAGAACGATAATTGGAGGAAACACAACACAGACCAGGGAGACACAACCATGCTCACACAAAAATCCATGACACACAAAACACAACATCAGCACTAGAAATTTACCCTTGTACTCTTGTGATAATCAGTAGTTTCTATCTCAACAAACGAGTTGTGCTTTATTGATCATACCCTTTCACCCCACACTCAAGCTCTTTGCAACCATTACCAATGACTAACTCAAATCCATCAAAAACTCAAATAGCAACACTCAATTTTGATCGTCGGTAGTGGGTGATTAACAACTTATGGTGCAACAATTATTAGGAGAATCTAACCACATCAGTGAGGTGCATATCTCGTGAGGACAATCTGGCTTACTCACACCAATCATAAGCAATTAATTAAGCATGAGTCTCAAAAACTAATGGGGGAAGCCTTTCGCAAACATGATTTTAACTTTAAGCACATCACTACCTTTTATGACAAGGAGAGGCTTTCTCTCTTTCTGCTTTTGCTTGCCGAGAGGTCGTATTTAGTACAAGTGGGATTTGTTTCTTACTACCGGTGACCGAGCAAGAGCAATTTCTGCTTCTTAGCACTCGCATAAGGGCTTCTTTCAACTCCTTTTCCTCGGTCCGTGTGGAGGGTCATTGTTCATCCTCTAATGGCACTTCACTCAACTGGGGATCGTACTTGATAAGCAACATCGTACGGTCGCGAACCGATTCTCAATTGAATCTTTCCTCATCCCCATGTGCAATGAGTGATTGCCTCACACGATTTTGGCATTTTTACCCACACTTAAATTGTTATGGCAACTTTCTTATATTTTACTTGTCAGGTAGGATTTTTCTTTATATAAAGATACAGTTCACCCCATCATAAAACATTCAAAACAGAGAGATTCGCTGCCAAATCAAAAGCTCACAATTGATGCAAGTAAGCACGGTATCCAAACATGTCGAGTGGTCAATGTTCTCCACCTAACTACTTCACCAAAAGTCGTTACACTATCCTCACAAAAGAGAATGTTGCTAAAAGAGTTGCTCATTCAAAGCATATCAAGTCAGTCAAAACATTCAAGCTCATTGTGAAGAACTATGCAATTCAACACTAGTGGGGTGATTTTGATGATTTCATTCAAGCACAAACTCATTTTCAAAGCATCACGGTCATTTACATCATGTTACCACAAGAGTACAAGGTTTTGTTTTTGATTTTTTTGATTTTTAGGTGTTTTTTAGCCATTAGATTAACACAGGCAGCTTGCTTTTTACACAGGCAGACTGCTTTTTACACAGGCAAACTGCATGCAGTTTGGCTGTGCTCAACCTAATGGCAATTTTTTTGTTTTTTTGTTTTTTTTTTGGATTTTTTTTTTACCGACCACATGACAAAAGGAACAAACAATTTTTTTTTTTTTAAATTTTTTTTTTTTTTTTTACTGACCACATGACAAAAGGAACAAACAAACACTAAGACTCGCCACCCCACACTCAGGATGGAACATTGTCCCTAATGTTCAACTCCTAATCTAAACATGCACGGGTTTGACACAACTAAAAATAAAAATAAAGAAAAGAAAACTTACCTTGGGTTGCCTCCCAAGAAGCGCTTGTTTAACGTCCTCAGCCTGACGTTTATGGAGCTTTCAACCAATGGGTATGGAAAGGTATCCAGCATACCCTCCCGAGCAATGGTAGAACGCATAACCTCCATCCAGCATATGAGTCACCTCTGCAGGGCCAGGTGTGCGAAAATTGGGTATGACCTTCTTAGCTGGCATGTTAGACCCTTTAGTGAGGCGTAGGTGGTATTGCAGCGCCTCAAGCAAGTACTCTTCCTGTTTCAATGTCAGTAAAGTAGGAATAATAACAGGAAGATTGAAATCCTTACCCAAATATCTATACTTGAGGTGACCTGGCAAGGATTTCTGCCCTTGCTTTGATTTCAGAATCTGAGCAGATAGGATAGGTGATAGTTCTTCGGATGGTCCACTATCACAGGAAGAGGGATTTTTCCTTTCTCGAGCTTCACTTTCAAATTCATCATGATTATGGTCAACTTGAAAGACATTAAAAATTTCCTCCTCCTTACCTACTCGGAATGTCAACTTGCCTCTCCCAACATCGATGAGTGCATCACCGGTTGCTAGAAAAGGTCTGCCGAGGATTAGAGGCACTCCCCGATCATCTTCCATCTCCAGGATTACAAAATCTGTTGGGAGAATAAACTTTCCCACCTTCACCAATACATTCTCCACCACTCCTTTTGGAATTTTCACTGATCGATCAGCCAATTGGAGAGTGATCCGAGTAGGCTTTAGAACATCTCCCAATCCCAATTTCTTGTAGACTGAGTATGGCATCAAATTAATTCCTGCTCCAAGATCACAAAGTGATTTATTGAATTCTGTACCTCCAATGACACATGGAATGGTGAAGCTGCCCGGATCATCCCTCTTTTCTGGTAATTTATTCTGAATCACAGCACTACATTCAGAAGTAAGGGTTACCTTCTCCAGATCAGCCCATTTCCGCTTCTTTGTCAGCAACTCCCTTAAGAATTTAGCATATGTAGGCATATGTTCAAGTGCCTCCGCCAAGGGTATGTTAATCTGAAGTTGCTTGAAGATATTCATAAATTTCTTGAAGTTTGGGTCTTCCATGGGCTTCATTAACCTTTGAGGGAATGGTGCGGGAGGTTCATAAGGCTTTACCTCTTCATTCTTCAATTTTTCCACTTTTTGAGGTACACGGGCAGCATGCTTTTGCACAGGCAAACTGCTTTCATTTTGCCTGTGCAAGGCTGATTCTTCATTTTCTGCACAAGATCTTTCTCCCGGTGCTTCCTCTTCTGCCTCTGGTGCCTTTTTCGAGCTGCTAGGGTCTTCCAAGGCCTTTCCACTCCTCAATGTCACTGCTACAACCATGGCATCCTTCGGATTCCTCTCAGTATTTGCTGGTAATGTCCCAGGAATCCTGCCTTGCATATCTGCCAAAGTTTGAGCCATCTGGCCTATTTGCCTCTCCATAGCTAGCATAGAAGATTGTAAATTATTGTTGATGGCTAGCTGTTGAGTGACAAATTGATCCAGGCCCTTGAAATTATTGTCTGTTTTCTGCATATGAGCCAAAATCAACTCTTCAAGTTGTGGTTTCTTCTCTGGTTGAGGTTGTTGTTTCTGCAGGCCTGGAGGAGAAATGTTGCGAGCACCATCTGGGTTGTTGTTTGCCCAGGAAAAGTTAGGATGCTTCCTCCATTGCGGGTTGTAGGTATTTGAATACATACCACCCTTGTCTTGATTTTGTTGATTGTTGATATAGTGCACATCTTCCAACTGATCAGCTACCAGTGGACATAGTTCCCTATGATGAACACCTTCACATAATTCACAAAAAAGCAACCTCCTCCTGTCTACCAAGAGCCATCTTAGCCAGCCTTCGTTCGAGTGCATCGAACTTGGAATCCAACTTAGCATCAATCTTTGCTTCTAAGCTTGCCACTCTGTCTATCTCATGCAAGCCTCCTCTCCTTCGAATGCCGGTCTCACTACCCCATTCAGTATCTTCAGAGCATATCTTCTCCACCAGTTCATATGCTTCTGGTGCTTCCATTCTTGTGAAACCATTTCGGGAAGCATTATTCAGAGCATCCCGAAACTCCCTTCTGATTCCATTGAAGAAAATAATGATCACGTTCCAATCTTCAAGACCATGGCTTGGGCATCTCATCAACAGCCCTTTGTAGCGCTCCCATGCCTCAGTTAGACTCTCATCATCAGCCTGCTTAAAAGTAACAATCTCTTCTTGCCTCTTCATTGCCAAGGCAGGTGGGAAGTATTTATCCAGAAATACCTTCTCAAGCTGACTCCATGTCGTGATGGAACGGGGTGTTAAGTTTTGGAACCAGTGTGATGCATTCCCTAGCAGAGAAAATGAGAACATCCGAAGACGGATTGCATCATCAGATACTGTGGGGCTCTTCATTGTATCACATATACTCGCGAACCGGCGGAGATGCTCGTGAGGATCCTCATTGCTAGCCTCAGAGAAAGTATACCCATTGGTGATCATGTTGATAAATGCTGGGGTAATCTCCATGGTTGCATCCCCAGCCGGAATGAAAACACATGAAGCCCGGGCTCCAGTCCGTTGATTTAAACGAGCCCTGATCGAACGATCCTCGTCTGCCATGATGACTGGCTCAATGTCACGAGGTGGTGGTGGTGGTGTAGGGACGACAGGTGATGAAGCCTACCCTCTCTGGGTTAGGGAAGGCCTAGGAGTTGTGGTTGGCTGCTTCCCTAACTTGACCTGCTTCCTGTTCAGTCGACAGGTCTTCTCGATCTCCAGGTCTAGTGGCAATAAATCCCTGGTTGTCCTCCTAGGCATGCACAAAAAGGATTAACCTGAAATTCACCTGCACACTAGCACACAGATCAAAATAGTTCACTCACAAAAATCAATAAAAAATAAGGTATGGCAGTCCCCGGCAACGGCGCCAAAAACTTGATAGGGCAAAAGCGTATATGCCAATTTCCTATCTCGTAGTAAAACCGGAAAGTCCGGGTATCGTCTCTCAGGGACTGGTACAACCTTAAGTTCTATCAATTTTATTGAGCAAACTATATGTGAAAATGTTTAATGAGATGAAACTATGATCTACTAGCAAAGTAATTAAACTAATTAAGCAAAGTAAATTGGTCGGGAGAAAATCAATGGAAGAAAGCTCTGGGAGAAACACCGGGACTCACTACCTATCATATCCAGATTAATTCATATATTCCAATCAGTTTAATCCAATTCTCTACAGCCAGGATATCACTACTGTGCTAGCTATCC